CAGGTTAGCTTGTCTTGCAAGATAGGGAAGTTTCATTGAATTTCACAGGAGAGACATTTCAATTTCTTCAATTAAAAGATCAGGTCTAAAAATTCCACTGGCTCTGGAGTTTTTGTTTGCTTGTTTTCATTTGCAAGAGATGATGGTTAGCTTCATACAACATGGCTTGTTTAGCCACCTACTTGGGTTGCCATTTCTCCAACATTTTAATCCATAAATCCCATGTACACAATCAAACCACTCCTGGGCTTCGCACAATGTTTGGAGAAGGATCTATAATTCATCCACCAGACAATCGATACGGTGCCATCTGAAACATTTCCTTAGGTAAACTGAAAACGGGATGATGGGGTTTTTTTTTTGTTCGACACCCACTTCAAAATTGCTTCTAGCGCTTTTCCCCAAGTTTTTCCTCTTTCTTTTTTTTTTAACCCTCCTCGACTCGACGAAAAGAAAATTGCCAAATGAACAGGGAATTTAAAAAACAACAACATAGCTTGATAGCGGTTTGAAAAACAAGAGATTCAACTTCACAAGAGACATACAGTAGTTGTGTACATACAGATTCATAACACTGCCAGACGAAGCAGCTACTGCTCAGCTCCCTGACAGCAATTTCACACTATCCTGGAAACATCTCAGAATAACAGAGTCAAAAGGGACCTTTGAGGTCTTCTAGTCCAACCCCCTGCTCAAGCTGGAGACTTTATCCCATCTGGAGAAATGGCTGTTTGGTCTCTTCTTAAAAACCTACAGTGATGGAGCACCCACAACTTCTGGTGTTCCACTGGTTAATTGTCCTCACCATCAAGAAATTTCTCCTTAGTTCTAGGTTGCTTCTCTTCTGATTTGTTTTCATCCGTTGCTTCCTCTCTTGCCTTTTGGTGCTTTGGAGGACAGCAAAACCTCTTCCTCTCTGTGACAGCCCCTCAAATATTGGAAGACAGCTGTCGTGTCACCCCTAATCCTTCTCTCTGTTAGATTAGACATACTCAGTTCCTGCAACTGTTCTCACAGCCTTGGAACAGACCTGTCCCCCCAAAAGCGGTCTTGAACCAAGAGCTAGAAGGAGAACCAACCCCACAGCCAAACAGGAACACACTCACAAAAAAGTCAGAGAATCCTACCTTCAGCCGGTCTCAGGAGCTGGAAAAGCAGGGGGACGTTTTACCTGTTCAAAAGGTAAGTCACCCAGAGGCTTCCAGGCTGCTGCCCTTGCCTTATCAAGGCTTCGAGTGGGTGGCCTGAGCCGAGTGCAAAAGTAGTCAGAAGAGGGGTGGAGGGGGGTGTTCTCACGTCATCCCCCTGGGGAGGGTGCAAGCAGGGGTGGAGGGCATCTCTTGAGAAGCTCACGCCGGCTTTGGATGTCATCCAGAAAAGGGCAGGGTCTCGCTTCAGGTAGCAAACCAGGAGTAGGTGGGTGATGGGGGAGGAAATGTTTTCACATATTCCGTGTTTGTCGTGTTACGAGCAGGATGGAAAATGCAAAAAACAAACAAATCACCATGCAGTGGAGGAAAACATTAGAGAAAATGCAAATTGTTCCATTGGGTTCATCCCCATCATATTTAATGATATTGAGGCAATGCCGAAGTTTGTTTGGCTTGCAAAAGTAACTTATCTGTAAAAAGGGAGCTTTAGGAAACTTAGTTTATTTAAGAAGTTTTGTAGAGATTCTGTTGTGTTGTGGGAAAAGAGACCCGAGACCCAGTTGACTTTTTCCCTTTTTATTTTCTTTCTAGTAATCGCATGCGAAGAAACCGCGGCAGCCTTTTTTATAGCCGGCTGCTCGCGGCTCGTGGCCAATGA